TCTCCGTCCGCCGCCTGGTCGCTGCCACCCGCCAGCTCGGCCTTGAGGCGCGGGGACCGGGCAGCGCTGGCCGCAGTCCCTGCCCACCCGCGAGCCATGGCCCAGCCAGGCGAGGAGGCTCCGTCCAGGCCCGAGACCGCGGTGCAGATCCGCGTCGCCATCCAGGAGGCCGAGGACGTAGAGGAGCTGGAAGAGGACGAGGAGGGGGCGGAGGCGCGGGGCGCGGGGCGTGGGGCGCGGTACCTGAGCCCCGGGTGGGGCAGCGCCAGCGAGGAGGAGGCGGGCCGAGGACACAGGTAGGCGCAGGTCCACACTGCGGGCTTAGGGAAGAGGAGGTACGGGGGTACGGGGTCCTCTGTGTCGGAGAGGAATGACTTGGGGAGCCAAACAAACAACTTGGCGAGCTCAGGGGACTTGAGGGAGGCAACCCTGTGGCTGTGGGAGTGAGTTAGAACCAGCCTTTGGTGGTTATTAGAGCCCCAGCCTGCACTTAGCTAACTGGAGCTAGGCTCCCAAGGTCGATGGTGGGGCTCTGAGGGGCCTGCATGTGGCTGATATCCAAAGCGCTAATATGAAGCCCTCATTGGGGCATCTTTGCCACCTCCTTCCCACTGAGAGCTCACGCATTGATGCACAACATGGTTTAGTTTTCCCCCCTGAGCTTGGGCCACCAACCCGTCTTTTCAAGAGATCCCACACAGCCTTCACTGCCATGATCTCTTATCTCCCTGTCCCTCCAGAAGGCTTCTCCGTATCTCCAGGTGGTGGGAGGCCAGTGGCGGTTACACTTGCTGCTGGGAAACCCCCCCAGGAGCCATGTCCTGGTGTTCTAGAGGACTCTCAGTTAAGGGTTTGTTGCTGGCATCCTCCTCCGCTTCCTCTGGGAGGCTAATCCCATTTTCATGCGGTCTTCCCCGTCTGATTTGTACACCAGCAGCAGCATCATCTTGTGGGCTCCTTGGTGATGAGTGTCTGGAGCTTGTTTAGCACCTGTCTAACCTTGCCTCTGGCCTCTGAGCTTGGCCCTCAGTCAGACACTTCAGAGTGTTTCTGACTAACACCCAGGTCCTTCACGTCTGGGGTCTTCTTCTTTCGTGGAGAAGAGCTACAGTCTGGAATTTCCATAGAGATGGGAGTGAGCAGAAAAAGAACTCACAAATTCTGGGAAATGCCACTTGGCATTTATGAAGAGCCTTCTTGTTTCTGGAATTCTGTGCACATGCTTTTTGCTGTCATGACTCTACAGGGTAATTTCCCAGCACACCCGTGGCTGCTTCATTGGAAGAATACTAAACTCAGGAGTGTAAGGATCCTGGGGCTGGAGCCATCCCCCATTGCTGCCTAATACTCTTCCAGTGGGACCTGTCAGGACTTTGAGGCCCCTGTATTCCAATCAACCAAGGTAGTGACAAATCAATTCCAGTGAAGCCCAGACTAACAGTTTGGGGTAGGGAGGCTGTACCCTAGTATATGATGCAATAGATATATCAGCACTTTATATACTGTAAAGCTTAGTTCATTTATTCCGTCAACTCTGTGCTCAGTATTGAAATTATAACAATAAAAAATTCTTAGTCACTGACCTGCAGCAGCTCACGGTTTTGAGAAGAAGGTGGCCACTTACTCAGATGATTTCAGGGGTCATAATAAAATAGCCCTGAGTGGTATATCTTTCTGACTTCATGTGCCTGTGACTATGGGAATCCCCTCCCAGGGGAAGGGAAAGAGGATTCAATCTGTATGCTCAGCAAATTATTCAAGAAGCTGTACTCTATGAATCAGGATTGGAGGGAAACTGATCAATAACCTGGGTTATGCAGATGATACAACCTTGCTTGCTGAAAATGAGGAGGACTTGAAGCAGTTGTTGCAGAAGATCAAGAAATGCAGCCTTCGGTATAGATTGCATCTCTGTATCTAACAAACCCCCAAAGATTCCTACCACTGAACCAAAACGTAACATCATGAAGGATGGAGAAGAGATTGAAACTGTTAACTTCATTTTACTTGGGTCCACAATTAACACCTTTGGTACCTGCAGTCCGAAAATAAGGAGACAAATTGCACTGGGGAAGCCTGCAGTTAAGGACCTCTCCCAATTACTGACGAGTAATGATACAAGTTTGAGGACTAAGGTGCATCTTGCTGTGCATCTGTGAGCTGGACAGTGAATAAGGATGACAGAAGAAGAATTGATATCTTTGAGCTGTGGTACTGGAGAAGAGCACTGAACATTCCAAGGACGGCCAAGAGAACAAACAGATATGTCTTGGAGAGGGTGCAGCAAGAGTGCTCTTTGGAGGCAAGAATGAATGATGAGGCTTCACCTCACATACTTCGGGCATGTTGCTAAGAGGGGCTATTCCTTGGAGAGGAACATGATGCTGGGAAAGGTGGAGAGTCTGCGAAGGAGAGGAAGACCCTCAACCAGGTGGATTGGTACAGTGATTGCTACAATGAACTCTATAGGGTTAGGAAGTGTGAGAATGGGACAGGATAGGATGGGGTTCAGATCCATTGTTCACAGGGTCACTATGAGTCATATTTGTCTCACAATGGCACCTAATAACATCAGCATGGGAAAGAGTGGTCCCCTGACCTGGGAGCTTAGATTGTGGGATTGTGCTATTACCTGTTGTCATTGAGTCCATTTGAACTCGAGTGGCCATACAGAGTAGAATTGCCCCAAGGCTGTAAATCGTTTTTTTTTAATTATTATTAAATTTTATTAGTTTTAGTGAACATTTACAGAGATTTTGGGTTTTCATTCATTCATTGTTGCACTGTTTTCTCTACCCTCCTCTCCAGTTTGTTCTTCTTCCCCCACCCCCCGGATGTCTGTTTTAATTGTCCATTTGCCACAGTGCTTCTCAAAGCCAGTTCTGATTAATCTCCTTTGTCAATGTGTCCTTTGCCATTCCCTATCTCTCCTCCCTGAGAGAGACTTCACCCTGATTCATAAGGAAAAGGGGATGGTGTATTCTCTTAGCTACTTCCTGCTGAAAAGGGACACTGTAGGTTTCAGGGTGAAGATCTTCTCTCACTACTCTAAAGGGCCCCTTTGGCAGTAGGAAACACATAGACTATTATGGAGATTGATTTTGGAATTTAGATTCACTGTTATCAATTGTCCTTAGCCATACATGTTCATATCCTTTAAGATGTATCATGGAAGTGTTGCAGCCTAGAAGATACAAATTTAACTAACAAGTTAAAAGTACATGAGTCAAAAAATAAAAAGCAATAATATTCCGAGTAGAGGTTCTAATAGTGGCACAAGTCAAGTTACAGAGGGAAGGTGGTTCTTACAATAAAAGGCCTATAGACTAGCACTTTGTCTATTATAGTGTAGAGGTTAGGAACCACAAGATGTAGAGGCTCAGCTGTCATTTATGGTTCTTAAGTCCTGGAGCAAATTCCATCTACCACTGGGTTGTTTTACAACTCAGAAGTTCGAATTCAAGGTAGAGGTAAAGTAAGGAACTGCTTATGAGGTTTTCTGTCCATTCAAACAACTAAGAAATGGTGAGAAGAGTTGGGACCTGGCTGTAAATCTTTAAGAGAGCAAATGACTATATCTTTCTCTGTAGAAGTGGGGTGTGTGTGGGTGTGTGTGTGTGTGTGTGTGTGTGTGTGTGTGTAAACCACTAATCTTTTTAATAGGAGACAAATGCTTAATTACCACCAGGAATCTTTATACTGTTGGGGGGAAAACCCCAAAACAAACCTCAGACTTAATTGCCATTGAGTCAGAATGGACTCATAGCTGACCCTCCAGTGAATTTTCATAGACTGTAAATCACAGGGGAGGAGATTGCCTGTCTTTCCCCCAAGAAGCAGTTGGTGGCTTCAAACCCCTTGTCTTTGGGTTGGCATCAGAACGCTTACTCATTAGGCACCAGAGCTTACTGTACCATTGTTGTTGTTAAGTATCATACGACTCATAGCAACCCTATGAACAAGAGATCTGAACCCTGTGCTATCCTATACTATTCTCATAATCCCTAACACACTTGACCTTTGCTGCAGTCACTGTCAGTCCACGTGGTTGAGGGTCAACCTTTCTTTCACCATCCCTCCCTCTTTCCAAGCATGATGCCCTTTCCAAAGAATAGCTTCTCCTAGCAACATGCCCAAAGTTTGTGAGACAAAGCTTTGCCCTTTTTGCCTCCAGGGAGCATTCTGGCAGCACCTTCTCCAAGACATACCTGTTTGTTCTCTTGGCCATCCATGGGATATTCAGCACTCTTCTCCCACACCAGAGTTCAAAGGCATGAATTCTTCTTCTGTCATTCTCATTCATTGTCCAGATGTCAGATGCATATCAAATGATTGGAAAGACTGTGACAAACCTTAGTACTCAGACTAACATCATTGCTCATCAATAATTTGGAGAAGTCCCTGACTGCAAACTTTCCCAGTGAAGTATGTCTCCTGATATCCTGACTGCTGGTACCAAAGATATCAATTGTAGATCCAAGTAAGATGAAGGAGTTCACAGATTCAATCTTTTCTCCATCTGTCTTGATGGTGCTTACAGGTCCAGTGGTAAGAATTTTTGTTTACTTGATACTGAGATGCAATCTATATTGAAGTCTGTGGCCTTTGATCCTCTGCAGCAAGCAAGTCCTCCTTGATTTCAGCAAGCAACATTGTGTTCTTTGAATAATGAAGGTTATTAAGGAGTCTTCCTACAATCCTGATACCACATTCCTCTGTATAGAGTCTAGCTTCTCGAATAATTTGCTCAGCATATAGATTGAATAGATAGGGAGAAAGGATACATCACCTTGACGCACACCTTTCCTAATTTTAAACCATTCAGCATTCCCTTGCTCTGTTCTCACAATAGCCTCTTGATCTAGATATAGGTTCTGTACCATTAGCAGAGACTTTGTTAAAATAAACAAAGCTTGGGCCTAGGAAGTTCTTGAACTTCAATACCGATGGGCTTCTTGACCTTGGTCTCACTTCTAGAGCTTCCCTTCTCTCTCAGCTCTGTCAGCTTGAGTTGCACAATATTCAGTCTCAGACTGCTCACTGGCATACAGAAAATCCTTCAGAGTGGTTGAGCTCACAGCCTAGCTGGCAGGGATCCAGAGCACTAGGGGATCCAGTAAAGAATAGGATCCACATTGTCTCTGCTTGGGCCCGGTCTGGCACAGAGGCCTGTGCAAGCATTTCACAGCTCCTGGAGTCTAGAGAAGAAAGCCCTGATTTTGGAATCTGGCTGTTAGATTCACATCATCCTCTCAACTCAGTGTTTTCTTCCTTGCCTCTCAATGCTTCATCATTC